GGTCATGATCCTGGAGTCCTGGGATCGAGTCCCGCATCGGGCTCCCTGCTCAGCGGGGAGTCTGCTTCTCCCTCTCACCCTCCTCCCTCTCATGCTCTCTGTCTCTCACTCTCTCTCTCAAATAAATAAATAAAATCTTTAAAAAAAAAAATTTAGATTTCTGTATTGAATATATCACAGTGAAAGTTTTGTAGTCAGCCAACCTATTGAGGGGAAATTGAATAGTTCTAGAGTAAATTGACAATTCTCGTGAGCAAATGGTTTTGTTGAGTTTTTCTGTGTTTTAATATTAAATATTGAGGGAGACATAATTTGAAATGTATACACTTCCAATTTCTCCCATCTAATGTATCATAAATGAAGGGGAAATACGATTTTAAAGGTACAAAATAATTTTTTGTTTCTTGCCTTCTACCATATTATCTGAGACTTGGAAGATATCCAGTAAGACTTGTTTTATCTGAAATATTTACCAGCACCTAATAAACAGCCCTTCCATGCATTTTCTTTTCATTTGTTACACTAAGCAAAAGGTATCATCCTGAATGTTGTGGGAAAACAGGCTCAGTGTATCTCCTCTCCTGGAGAAATGTGTTGTGTGATTGATGGACATCTGTGACTGTCGACCTAGCTGATGAAGCTGTTTGGATAAGTGTGGGACCATTCAAGTCGGTGCTGTGGTTCTGATCCTCAAGCCACGCCATTTCTTTTTCTTTTGACTTTCTAGACGGAGATCCCAGTTCTGATTTTGTGCGTTAAATGAAATAAGTATCAAAAATAGCATATGCAGCACTATCCTCTTAACAAATCCCTAAAATTCACCAAAAGTAAAATTACATACTACCCTATGATTATTATGCATTTCCGGGATCGGTGTAATCTGCCCAAATACATTTTTCCATAATACATTTTCTGAAGGCAAAAGTCATTCATGAACTTAAATGTCAGTTAAGAATACAAGGTTTAAAAAAAAAAAAAAAGAATACAAGGTTTGGGGCACCTGGGTGCCTCAGTCGTTAAGCGTCTACCTTCGGCTCAGGTCATGATCCCAGGGTCCTGGGTTCGAGCCCCACAACAGGCTCCCTGCTTGGCAGGAAGCCTGCTTCTCCCTCTCCCACTCCCCTGCCTGTGTTCCCTCTCTTGCTGTGTCTCTCTCTGTGAAATAAATAAATAAAATCTTTTAAAAAAAAAAAAAGAATACAAGGTTTTGGTCCACGAAAGGTGCTCAAAACTCTTCTCTGCCCATAAGCCATTCCATAAAGCATGGACATAGAGAGTTCAGAATCCAGCCCTGATTTTTGCTCTCATAACTCCAGAACGTAGACCTAGCTCCTTTCTCTGTGGGATAATCTATAGTGTGTTTACTTAAAGGTGATACAGGTCCTCTATTCTGTCTGACGTTTGTGGTTAGAATAATGTTGACAAAACATTGGCTGTCTTGTGGCTGAAGGCTGAAATGGAATCAGTATTTTGGGTGACTCATAACAGTAGTGATAAAAGAAAAACCATATAGGTTCGAAAACCAAAGATGTTTACAGTAAATTTTAAAAGAAGGTCAGAAAGCAGCACAGCTGTATTTAATTCACGGCATCTTAAAACTTGCCTGAACTTAAACTACTTTTGGATGTTTACAGTTACCTGTCAGAAAGGATACTTTAGTGATTGAAGGAAATTAGAAATTTTACAGCCGTGGAAAGTTCACATAAAAATCTCAGGCGACGTTCCTCACACTGTGTTGCAATAAAAATAGAGAATGTGCTATACCCTCTTCATACATATTTTTACACGGAGAGTGCTGATCAAAGCATCTCTTGAGTAGGTCAGAGTTGCCTGCTACCTGTGAAGAGCTGAATCACTGGCCTCTTTTAGCAGATGGGTAAAAATTTAGAACTCTTGATCTTAGCAGTGGCAGCTAAAACACTTATTTTAGTCTCTCTTCCATGGTAACAGGAAACGAAACTGGAGAAGACAGTGTGAACTAATGGATAGAGTGTTGGACGGGAGGTCAGGAACCTCTGTTCTGTTCTATTCCCAGCCTGCTACTGGGTTGCTATGTAAACTTAGATAAGCCAGTCACCCTCTCTGCACCTCACATTTTCCATCTGTGGAAACATAGGTAGAGACATTCCGTACGAAGCTCTTCACAAAGATACTGTAACCAGCTTACTCTGAAGAAGTTCATAGTATCTTTTGGTTAAAAAGAAGCTACATAAATATGTCAGTGGCCCTGTTCCTTTTGATGACACCCTGGCCACAGTCTTACGTTATGTAGGTTGTCGCTTATCAGTGCTACAAAACAAGGACCATTACAATGGGTTTTGTACTGCATGGAAACCAAGATTGTGACCCTAGAGCCAGAATGCCTGAGTTTAAGTCTTGGGTCCACCATTTACTAACTCTGTGATCTGGGACAGGTGAGCAATCCTAGATTTCCTCATCCATAAAATGAGGAAAATGAGAGCACTCATCTCCCTGGAGTGGGATGAAGCTTGAAGGCGTTTATAAAGAGCACTGCAAACATATAGACCCATAATGCACTTTACATAAGTGTGTAATTATTTTTATTGCCCAGGACAAATCTTCATTATTAACATGATAGTAAAGTAAAACATCACCTTTGGCACTGGGTGTCTTCTAGGCTTTTCTTCCCAGAACGGCCGCTCGCTCTTCCTGCTGACTGCTTGTGTCTGACCCTGCCACCCCCATAAGCCCTGGGCCCTGGGGATAAGCTCTTAGTCACTATTATCCATCATACCATCTGTAATAATTGAAGTAGTGTCACATAAAAGATAGGAAATCCAGGGGCGCCTGGGTGGCTCAGTCATTAAGCGTCTGCCTTCGGCTCAGGTCATGATCCCGGGGTCCTGGGATCGAGTCCCGCATCGGGCCCCCTGCTCCTCGGGAAGCCTGCTTCTCTCTCTCCCACTCCCCCTGCTTGTGTTCCCTCTCTCACTGTGTCTCTCTCTGTCAAATAAATAAAATCTTTAAAAAAAAAAAAAAATGGAAATCCAGATTTCAGAAGAGTTGCAGAATGGAGAGGTAATTGACAGTTGGAAGCTCTGTCCTGATTTTTACAGAGAATAAATGCAGAAAACATCAAGAGGAAATAGAATAGTTAACAATTTACATGGAGTTGATTTAACCTCTCCTGTCTGCTTTCTATAGTGGTGACCATCAAGGGAAGTACTATGGGAGGGTACCAAGAAATACATAAATTGCTCAAATGTAAAGAAAAAGAGTTTTTGGATTTTCAAAGATCTAAATAAAAATCTTTCTGTTTCAGGGGTTAAAAACATTAGGAAAGTATACAAGTTTAGGGTTTGATGAAAATTACTGATTTTTTTTTTTTGCAACTTACTGTAGTGTGGGATTTCAAAGATTGAATAGCATCTAAGGAGGTAATCATATGTTTCATTGATTTTTTTTTTCTCTTTTTATTATTAGAACCAACCTATATCACAATTGATCCACCTGCATGTGGGGAGTTATCAAACTGTACGCTGACAGAGAAGGACTGCGTTTATGGTTTCAAACTTGATCACAATGGTTGTCGAACCTGTCGGTGCAAACATAGTAAGTATACAGAAGATTGCACTTTTTTTCTGGGCCTAATAGGATACTGTCAAAGCATATTATGTGATTGAATATCTTTTTCATTCCTATTGATGACATTCCCTTAACAGCCTGAAAGAAGAAAAGAAAATTTGTACTTAACAACACACACAGATACACAGTCATTTGGGGGAAAAGAGGTGCTGCTTTATTCTGGTTTTCACCTTCATTGTATTCAGATACTCCTCACTGTCCAGTTGCATCATGGGGCAGCCCCGCAGGCTTTGGAGGACATATTCTTTCCAACCACCCAGTCGGCTCTCTCTAACACCGTTGCTCGGGTCATTCAGTGACAAGGCGGTCACCTGCACAGAGGTGGTCACATTCCACGTGTGGACAGACACAAAACAGGAGTTGAATAATTCAGTCGTTTTCAATTACATGTCCCCATCACTCTGCCTGCCTGCCGGAGTTGGTGCTAAAACAGAGTTTACAAAACTGTTGTTGGGACTCTGGTGGTTACCATCTTTAAATGTCCTAGAAGCCTCCATGCATCGGGGCTGTCCTGTTGGAAAAGCTGAGTTCATTAGGGAGCTGCCTTGGCATCCACGTGTGTTCGCTTAACTGGCCAACTTCGTTTTTTTGACACCAAGATAATTGGTATTGTATTGTGTAGAGTTTATATTTTAATACTTCTCAACTCTCTTGAGCTACACGCCTCTCTGATCATGGGAGCATACCTAAATTTTTTTCTGAACTGTCTGAAGTCTAAAAATAGAGATTTCATCGTGCCTGATCTCCCCACCTACCGCCTTCACCTGAGCTTTCTGTTAGGAACTTTTTTACCACATGGTTATGCTTATGTAAGACCCCTGGCACTTCACAAGGAGCCCTTTGTAGTTAAGTCCAAAGAAACAATTTTCCTCCAGTTGTCATTGAAGCAAGTAAAAAAGGGATCACTGGCTTTTTGCAGAGTGAGGCTATTAGGAAAATTCTGCTCTGCCTGTCTTTGCGGTCACGTTGCCTTCCAGCTTTGTAACAGGAACATGCGTGCATACTGCCTGCCGGGTACCTCCAGTTGGTTAACACATCGAAAGAGATAGGTACAGGAGACTGTTGCAATTCGTGTCAATGGTGCTTTTTAATATAAATCTTTATTGGCTGTTCATTATGTGCAAATTTTATTTATTTGCAGGGATCTCTGGTCTTTCTTCCTTCCCTCCTCCCTCCTTTCTTCTTTTGCCTCATACAATAGAGCACCTGCCGAGTTCTAGGTACTGTACTACGTATTTATGCCACAAACATGAATACAAGACCTCCCCTGAGAAAAAAATCTCCTGTAACCAATACACTAATGAAATATCACCACTTTAAGTCAAATTCTGTAACTTACGGCTCCTATTAAAAGGAAGCTTTGGTCCTATAGAAGAACCGGGAAGGAACTGACCCATCTCCCAGGGCCATGCTGGGCACCATCAGAATTGGGGATGCCATTGGACATCATTCTTGTTTAAGATCCCCTTCTCTGGTCTTGCAGTTCTGACCACGTATCCATTTTATCACACTGAGCTTCTTGACCTGGGTTAGTCTTTAGCCATCTTACTTGCTGCCACTGGATACCTAAGAACATAATTAAACACCAAGTGGCATTTGTCGGTTTGTCTGTATCATACAGAAGTCTGGTCATAGAGTATTCTCTCACTTCCGTCCCGTTAGCAATCCTGACACCTCTGGAAGCCACACCTTTAGGAGGTGAGTCAGAGTAAACCAAATTGACCAGTCCTTAGTTGTCAGACCGCTGTTACTGTATGTCCCCTCGCTCTCCTCCCCGGCTCTGGCAGCAGATTGACCTGCATCTAGCCGATCATGGCAAGTCACTTTACTTCTCTGGGCCTCTTGTCCTCATCTGTAAAGGGCAAATAATAATACCTAACTAATGAGTTATTCTGAGGACTAAGTAAATGAATGAATGCAAAGCTAGCTTTACTAGCCGACATATGGTAATTGTTACTCTGTTTACAGAAAATGAGAGATGTTTTATAACACATCCACTTCTGAGTCAGCGCAAGCTGGCTGATGTGGAAAGCCCCCAGCTTCCCCTCCTTTGTTCCAATACAGACCTGCCTCTGGTTCTTCCTGTCCTCTGAGGACACGCACACAAACAACTTTCCCTTTACCTTTTAACTTTAACCGTCAAATATTCTCATTCTCTTTCACCTGGTTTTACAAAAGGAAACTTCCTTGCACTAAAAGATGGCGTTAGTATGTTCTCTTTCCCATTGCAGCTACTTGATAAATACTGATTTTGTCTAAATTTCTCCCCTACATTATTTCTTTTTCTTTCTTTTTTTTTTTTTTTTGCATCCAGCCAAAGCCCGTTACACATACAGTGGCCCTAACCATCCATACCTCAGTTTTCTGTTAGGGATTAGACCTTGTTTATATAGACCACTGGCATCAAGATTGCTTAAAATAAGACCAGTGCCCAATAAATATTTCTCCCCTGTTCATTGCTTTGTTGTTCATTCGTTCTTTTTTCATCTAGCATTTGTTGACTGCCTGCCATATGCCACACACTAGGGATACGAAAAAGATAAAAATGGACTTCATCCTTATTAGTAGCATGCCAATAGGCTGTAATGATATTGCACTATAACCAAGCATATTATACCCAACCACTTACTTTCAGATTGAAATCAAAACCCAGTGTGACTCCTTCAAAAAATACATGGAAGGTATAGGACAAAATATTCTTTTGTGTAAACATACCGTAGCTTTGCTACTTTAACCTGTAACAAATAACATTCTTTAACACTGCTCAGCAAAGTAATGCATCAAAGGCATACAGAGAATTTAAATTATCCCTGACTCATTTTCCCATATTTAGAATAAAGAAAAGAAATATGGTAGAAGATGTTCAAGTACGATAGCTACAAAAGTTAAAACTAAAATCATTTAGGTATGCTGTTAGTAACCTAATACTTTGTCAGTATAAGCTGTTAATAACATTACTTTTTAACCAAATAGACACACTACACTTCAGCTTACTATATGAGCTATATGTAGTAAATGACATCTGTATGAATTAAATGCCATCCATCTTTTGGCACCTTATTTTCTACATCTTTAAATCAAGTGGATTTGACTGGATTATTTTTAACTTCTCTTCCAGTTTTAACATTCTGTAATTCTAGGAAGTAAAAATGCTTTTATTTAGAAGCTGATGCAGGCATAGAAAATTAATGGTAGCCAGAAGAAAAAGCCTTCCTACTTTTCATGAAATATATATATCCGAATCAAGCATCTAAAGAAGGTTGCAGCAACAAATACAAAGAGGCAGGCTCCATGCTTTCATTTCATTATAACTCAGAACTAAAGTAATAACTAAAGCCCAGAGTCAAGATTGGGACAATCATTTGTAATGTTGCATTTCTTTATTTAATCGTCTCAGGACCTTCGTGGTGTTCTTAACTGACCGGTTAGTGGGAATTGCCAGTGTCCAGGAGTGTGGGGGGCTGCAACAGAGAAGGGACACAATCACATTGGGTTCCAAATGCAGTTACATGGTACTCACTTAGCCTGAAGGACCGATAACAGTTGTGTCATATTTTGGCCCCGGGAGCAAACAGCACTTTTTCTCCAGAGTAAACAGTTTACTTCGTAGCTGCTATCAACCAGCTGTGATGCACAGATGCTGTACTTTGCCATTATTTATCACTTTGTTTTCAATGGTAATTCTCCCCTATAGATTAGAAAGCATTTTTAGATTGCAGTAAAGTCATAATGCTGAAAAATTAGGAGTATGAGGCCACCGTTCTTTCTTTCATGCTGCCTCAAGTGATGTACTAAAGCTTTTCAGACAAACTTATAAACCCCCCCCCCACCTATAAATAAGATATTTCTACTTGGTTCTGCTCTTTATGTAAAGGTTTGCCTTGTTGATACATTTATAGTAAGAAAAGTCCGTAATTGATACATGGATCTAGGACCACCACCTTATAGTCTTTAATATTCTTCCTTTCTGAGCTAGAAGATGGTATTTTGACATGTTTAGTAAGTGCCACTATTTTCGAAGATTTTAAATACTAGCAGAGTAAGTTTTTCCATCTTGTTATTTTTCTCTTAATATGGCAGCCTTGAGAGTGGAGGAGTAAATAGCAAGAACATTGATCGATTTGTTCATTCAGCAAATGTTTATTGAACATTCACTCCATGCTAAACACCATGATGTAACCTAGGCTGTATAAAGAAAGAAAATAAGGCCCTACCCCAGAGCCCCCTTCTGATAGGGAAGAGAACAGAGACAGGCCTGGTCCACAGTGTTGCGACTTAAAAATTCATGGAATAGAGAAATGGGTTTACAACTTCGATTTCAGTGTAAGAGAAAGAAAGGTGGCTGTGAATGTCTTCTCCCTCCTTCATCATCCCTTAATGATGGGAAGAGAGGAAAACTGATGACCTTTCAAGTCCTATAATTACAAATTTTTAAATGAGCCATTTAGAATTTCACTTTTAAAAAGGATGCAAATTAGTAATCAGTTGCTTCGCAGTGTGATGTAGACCCACAGGGCTATATTAAATATGTGTAATGAAAGGTTTATGATCAGGACAAAGTAGAAAATTATACCATAAATCACATTTTCCTCTCTAAAAGATAGCAAATTAAATGTTCGTGTATTGCCAGCTAAGATTCACAAAAAGATGCTCTCTTAAAATATTTATGTAAAACCTGAACCCGTCTCACCTATTAATTGTAGTTCAAGGTTTAATTTTAGATGATAAGGTTTGCGTGTGGAGGGGGGAACCCACGCATTCTGTTTTTCTTGGTATCATATGCATTATTTATAATACTTGTGCTTTAAGGGTGTCCAAATAAAATACAGATTCATTTGTTATTCCGACAAAAACAACATCTGCTTCCCACCTTGCCAGCCCCTGCAGAGCAGTAATCAAGCATTGCTGCACTCTTGCCGTCACCGTGTCAACCTCGTTACATTTGATTGACTTTCAGACTCTGCATTCAATGCAGACAGGCCTTGAGTTGCTTCAACACACCACCAAGCATGCTTTTCTTACCTGAATGCTTGTATTCCGTACATTACCCTGCAAAGCCCTACCTCACACCTTTTGAAATCTTTCCAGAAGACTTTTCCGAAGCTCATCTCTCTGGTAGTTCCTTTTGCCCGCCACCATAGCTTCTTCCCTGCACCCCTTTTTTTTTTATTCTAAAATAATGTTATAACTGACTAATAGAGGACAGCTAAAACATCATTCCAAATTCTGCTAACAGAGGAGAGTTCAAACATTTCAGATAGTGGATGAGCATTAATGTAGACGTTTTTGTCACATACGCTTTTTAGTCAGTTAGACTTATCCAAAGACGTGGCTATCTGTCAGTGGTTGGGAAAAAATACCTAAATTGAAATACTATTTCACTTTATAACGTGTTATTAGGCCTGTTTCTTTTTAAAGAAAGGGTAAGAAATCCTTCAGACTGCATATAATATGCAGTATTATAGGATTGTATCTAAAGCTCCTAAGAGAAAACATTGTGTGAACATTGAAGAATGTGCGTTATCATAAGCATTTAGTTGGAGCAAAAGATACAATGTAGTTTGGGGTTTAAGTGTCTCATGCTCACATTTAAACATTAAATAGTAATCAGTAGTTTGAGGAACTCATAAGAACAAATTTCATGAAAAAATAGCACTCCGTTTCATCCACACCTCAAAGAGTAGTCACAGTCTGCTCTTTAGCACCAGATTGGAATACACTTCAGAAATCTGTTTTTTGGGGCTTCTTTTCTCGATTAGTACCAAGATGTGGAGTTATGTTGAGATAACCAAGGAATGGTGGCTCTGTAATTTTTAACCATTCCTAATGCTATAGTATAATAGAGTATAGTATTTACATCTGTGGAAGAGGACCGGCAGATATTAGGGGCAGGTGTGGAAGCGTCCATGTGTTCATCAGCACGTCACGCTCTCTGCCTCTCTTCACAGGGGAGGAGCTGTGCTCGGGCCTCAAGCGAGGCTGTACTTTGGGCTGCCCCTTCGGTTTCCTGACTGATGCCCACAACTGTGAGATCTGTCAGTGCCGCCCACGGCCCAAGAAGTGCAGACCCATAATCTGTGACAAGTATTGTCCATTTGGATACCTGTAAGTATTTCTTAATTCAGAAGCTCTCTTCTTAATCATCTGTAACTTAATGAAACGTCCATGCTTACTTTTGTTAATTGTCTCATGTGTATGTGAATGGATCAGTGATGCACTGAATCCAGAATATCTGTGTTTGCTTTGTTAAGTGAATCAGAGAGCAGCAAAAGGGGGGTTTTACTCTTAACTCTTTGATGAAGAGGGGCCAGAGCCTCATTCTGCCACTGTCCTTTGGGCCTCTTCTGTGAGGCTGCCTCATAGCAAAGGCCTTTGCACACTGCCAGAGGGAATGGAGTTGTCATGAGAGCCCAGTATTGGACATGCCACAACTTTTCACAACTGTCCCAGTGACTGTTTGGTGATAATTTATTTAATAATGTGTACTTTAAGATCAGTGGCCACTCATTGGCCACGTGGAGCATGATTATTTGCCACGCCTCCCTATCTTACCTTGGTGCTGGTCTGTAGTTTATAACATCTTTTTCTCCATGTAGCAGTATCTTTTATGAATTCCCTTAGAGATAAGAACCATGACTTAGATTTTCAAAAATTCTTTGTTGAACCAAACCCCTGGAAAATCGAGATTATCCCAGGGGGAAAAGGCACTTCACATTTGTTTAGTGTCTGTACTAACATCTATTTCTGTCTTTGTATTAAGCTGGTTTCCTAAAAGGTTACCTTCCCTAATCTTGCTTTATCATTTTTATTCCTTAAAGATTTATTTATTTTAGAGAGAGAGAGAAAGACGCACGCACGCACGCGGGCAGGGGGAGAGGGAGAGGGAGAATCCTCAAGCAGACTCCCCGCTGAATGCAGAGCCTGACGTGGGGCTCCATCTCACAATCCTGAGATCATGACCCGAGCCAAAATCAAGAGTCAGCCACTTAACCGACGGAGCCACCTAGGCGCCCCATCTGCCTTTCCAATTTTTAATATATTTGTATAGTACTAGTAATTATAAAGGACTTAGATTCATCATCCCTTGCCTGCCATCTTAAAGTTACCATTTTTATGGTTCCTCTTAGGAATTCTAGTTTAGCAGGGATAGGGGAATCTTAATTCTAATTTTAGGATAAATTGAGGATGCTCACTATCCTTAAAACATCCCCAAATTAATAAACCGTCATTGTTCTTAATCCTAAAATAGGACTTTTATACCAGTGAAAGTATTATTTCTTAGCCCCACTCCTAATGTCCAATAAAATATTATTATCATAATAGTAACTACAAACACCTGCTGCTGCAGTGTAATGACAGCTCAGAATCGAGGTTCAAGTCCAACCTTCACCTTGGAGAGAAAGCCTTTAGAGGACTGTGGAGTCCATGGCATGTTCCTATCAGTAAGCACATTCAGGGAGAACCAAGCAGATCACCGTAGACAAATAAGTACTTTATCAGCTAGAAAATGTGGTTTCAAGGGCAGCCTCTGAAGGAGAAATGTTGGCCAGACACCATATGGGAGTACTGGGACGAAGGCAGCCTTCCGTGCCCCTTATCCATACCTGCTGAGTAGATTGTTCCTCTCTGTGTGCAGCAAAGGCTTACAGAAGGGGTCGGTGGACAGGTGGATGGGTATCTAAATGAATGAACAAATCAGGTAAAGCCTTGATAGAGCTTAAAAATGACATGTGTTCTCGCATGACTATGAATAATTCATTTAATTCGTTCTTCTCATCATGTTGACATAAATATGTAGACCCCAGCACTCAGTTCTCATTTCACTTAGCAGATTGTGGTTTAATTGTCACTTGGGCAGTGGTATACCAAGGGTTTCCCATAGAGCGGTCTCCTCTCAGAGTCCCTTAATTTATCCAAGATGAAAAAGAACAGGAATTTTTTTTGTGTGTTTGTGTTATTGGAACACCAGTGTTGCCACTTAGGGCTACTTGGGGTGAAACCTGAGGGTAAATAGAGTAACTCCTCCTTGTCTGAGGCCCAGTAAGCCAGCTAGGGCAAAGCCTGCAGAGCAGATGTGGAGCCTAGGAGAAGACTCGGTCCTGTGGCCTGTGGACGGGACACAGAGGGAGCTCCTCTGTACCAGACCGTAACATTCTCCTTTTAGAGAAAATAAGGAATGTTTGTTAAGAATTTTTTTTTTCCAAAAAAATCTTCACTTAAATTACTGTGATGTGGGGCACCTGGGTGGCTCAGTCGTTAAGCGTCTGCCTTCGGCTCAGGTCATGATCCCAGGGTCCTGGGATCGAGCCCCACGTCGGGCTCTCTGCTCCATGGGAAGCCTGCTTCTCCCTCTCCCATTCCCCTTGCTTGTGTTCCCTCTCTCGCGGTTTCTCTCTCTGTCAAATAAATAAAATAAAATCTTTAAATAAATAAATAAATTACTGTGATGTATTTCGTAAACACATATTTATTTAACATCATCTTTCCAATCACAAAATTTAGGCACTCTAGTTTATTAAAGTGCAGCCTTTTTCCTGTATCCCGCATGCTTCTTTATACCCCGTGTATGGAGCATTGTTCAGTTGATATTCTTTCCTCGCTAGTGAAATCATGAGTGGACCTTGATTGCAGGGCTTCTCAAAGTTTTTATTCTTTATCAATCTTGGTCCAGTCTTCCCAGGTCTGTGGAGTCTTAGGTTTTCCTTCTGTCTGCTCTAAGTTCAGTAAGATGCTCATTAATGTTACTACTAGTGGGGCGCCTGGGTGGCTCAATCAGTTAAGTATCTGATTTCAGCTCAGGTCATGATCTCGGGGTCCTGGGACAGAGCCCTGTATCGGGCTTCGCACTCAGTTGGGATCTGCTTTTGCCTCTGCCCCTCGCCCCCCACTCGTGCTCACTCTCTCCCCCCCAGTAAATATATTTTTCAATCTTTTAAAAAAAATATTTCTACTAGTGTCTGAAATTTCTCAAAGATTGTGGTCATGTGAGGAAGGTTTACCCTGACAAAAGGAGGACTTCTGCCCCAATGCTGGCCTCCAGCATTGACCAACAGTATACCCTTTACCATCCCATTCATGGAATTACACGTTCATCTTTTTTATATTACGGTACTACTTTTCCTAATTAAAACAGCAGTCATGTCATTGGGTTTCTGACAGTCACATCCCAGAAGCACATTAGTCCTTGGGCAATTCCAAACCTTGGCCATGGGTAAGTGGTGGTCACGGCCACAGAGAGCTACTTAGACATCACTCCACGAGTTTTTGAGAGCGTAAGTCAAGTTATTCTGCTCAAGAGTAGTATCCCTTCAGTGACCCTTGGTCTGAGTGCTTGGACATCATTTGAGACTTTTGGATTTTCTGACCTCTGACAAAATTTTAATTACCCAGGAAGAATAAGCACGGCTGTGACATCTGTCGCTGCAAGAAATGCCCGGAGCTCCCATGCAGTAAAATCTGCCCCCTGGGTTTCCAGCAGGACAGTCACGGCTGTCTTCTCTGCAAGTGCAGAGGTAAGTGCGAACCCATGACCCTTCTTCCCCCCTTCAGAACAGCCAGGGCTCAGAACCGGAGAACAGGAGGACATCATGTAATTGAAACCGTTTCAGTGACGGTTGTCTATTCAGACACAAATGTCACTCTCTATGGGTCCATCCCTTTTCCTTCCATCTCATTGGAATAAGAGCTCAGAATAGAGTTTAAAGTAAGCATATAACGGACAAGCACATTTGACCAAACGAATGACTTCTCAGCTCTTCAGTTTTACCCATATTAGGAACGTTAGCCTAGAGCACCTTTACCTTGACCTCGGTAGAGTCTGCTTCTGTTGGGCAGTGGCTTGATACAGTGATGCAGCAGAGAGCCCTTTTCGGAGCCTGTGAGGGTGGGCGTGGCTAAGCAGCCTGCTTATCTATTTTCTGGTAACAGTTTTCTGTGAGAATTTAAACTTCTGAATCAGCAAACGCCAGCCTCGGTCTCTACATACGCACGAATCCTGGGCATGCATTTTGTCTGGGACTTCCCTGTTCAAGACGTCCCTGCAGCCATGGGAGCATGCACCCCAACTGCCATTTCTGCCCGTACCCCAGCTCCAGCCTGGCCACCCACCCCACCCAGTCTGCTTTACTTGTCAGCATGACCCACAGATTCAGCAGTAAAAGATCCCTCAAGTTTGTGGTGTGTTTTGTTTTCTATTTATTTATTTATTTATTTATTTATTTATTTGAAGAGAGAGACACAGCGAGAGAGGGAACACAAGCAGGAGGAGTGGGAGAGGGAGAAGCAGGCTTCCCCGCGGAGCAGGGAGCCCGATGCGGGGCTCGATCCCAGGACCCTGGGATCATGACCTGAGCTGAAGGCAGATGTTTAACGACTGAGCCACCCAGGCGTCCCTGTGGTGTGTTTTCAAAGTTAGGCAGTTATCACCCTTAACAGTGTCTTCAAGGGGTCAGAGTAAACAAAAATCTAGTCACTGCTTCGATTGTTGCACTGAACAAAAATCTGTTAGTTTCAAGAGGCCCAGGCTTTCCCCACTGGGTGACTTCTAGAGTGATTATTCCGCATATATTAAACATGTATGTACTATTTGCTATGAAATCAGTGCTTGTTTACTGTAGAAAATATGAGGAAGTAGAGGGAAAGGGGTAGAAATCAACTATAATCCCGTTAGTAGGAGAGAAACTTATTTGCAGGGTTTTTTTTTTTTTTTCCTATTTTTCTTTTTTCAAAAGTGAGAGCCTGTTAACTTAAATTATTCTCACGAGCCTTTCCCGTGTCATGAACTGTCCTTTTGTACCCGTGATTTTTGGTGGCTGGGTCGCATTACCTGTGAGGACACTACAGGCTATTTATCCTGTGCAGTAGCTGCTTCTTTACCAGGCTGCCTTCTGTCTGTCCAGAGGTCCCTGCTTCAGCCGGGCCACCTGTCCTGTCAGGCACATGTCTGTCCATGGATGGCCATCATCATAAAAATGAGGAGAGCTGGCATGATGGGTGCCGGGAATGCTACTGTCACAATGGACGGGAAATGTGTGCTCTGATCACCTGCCCGGTGCCTGCCTGTGGCAACCCCACCATTCATCCGGGACAGTGCTGCCCGTCATGTTCAGGTAAAAGCTGGCTGCCATCTTGTGCGCTCCCTAAGCAAATGACTTCTGCCTTGCAGGGCCTCATCACATCTGTGACTCTGGGGGACATGCAGGGGACGACCCCCTGGAGCACATTCCAGCTCTCCGTGGCTTTTGTCAGCCACGGCCACAGAATCAGCCAGGGGCTGTCAATGATTGGCCGAGGACCAGAGGAAATGCTCAAACCCTAGAACGACTCTCCTTGTTTTTTGATAGTTTACTCAATGATATGGGTCTTCGGACGGTATTTTTGTAAAGGATTGCAGACCTAGTGTACTTAAGCTCCAGCTCTCCGTTTTACAGATGGTGTATTAAGGCTGAGTGTTTTAGTTAATCGGAAGGGATTGATGCTAACTTTATTCCGTAAAAGCTTATTATTTATAAGGGAATATTTGAGAGGGAGAGAATTATCAAAGTCTGTGGCTGTTGCCCCTTTTTAAATTAATGGCCATGTGGTGCTCTTGCCAAATGGAGATATTTAGAGTGACCACACATCCCAAACATTTCAAGTCCTAATGATGGTAATCAAGAGAAGTTGCTAGAAGAACAGACCAGATTATATAATTCATGGGGGTCTGAATTATGGTTGTCAATAACAGTAATTATTACCATAATACCTCATCTAGTGCCGTTCATCCACAGAGCTCAATATAGTCCTGCATTTATTATTTCTTCCTCTCTGCAGGCCACTTGAGTTAGGGGAAAATGTGCTTAGGCAGTTTTTCATTTGAAAAACAGACTCCGAAATACTAGCTCTCTTACCCAAAGTCAAATAATATGTCAGAAGGCCAGGGAGAAGTGAAGTCTCCTGATTCTTGCACCACATCTCTTTTAAAGTTGGAATGGGTGTACTGTCGGATTTCAGAGTCCTCATTACTTCTCCTCTGGTCAGTCCTGTCCCACGTCTCCCTGTGAACGGATCCACCTATGCAGTGGGTGCCGTCAGGAACCTGAGACCTATCTTTCTCCAGCAAGGCAGGCCCGGCCTGAGGGGAGGTGGCCTTGCCAGCCATGGCCGGGGTGAGGAGAGGGACACTTGAAGTCCCTGTTAGCTCTGAGCATCGACACCCCTCAGTAACTAAGGTGTCAAAGTGACAGGCAGCCCCCATACCCCTGTAGAGGACCAGATGATCATGTTTGTTTTGTTTTCCCCATAGTGCAGTCCTATGAGTCCCACACTGAAAGTTTCCTTTTTCACATGTTTTGCTATTAAATATGAAAAACTACTAGTGTCCATTGACACAGAAGATAAATGAGCAGTTTAATGAAACAACTCTGTGTTGACTCTTTGGGGAAGGAAAAATCATTTGTTGCAATGAAGACCCCATGCTTTAATTTTAGGCACGAGTGTATGGAGTGTGGACGGCACCTGGGTCTTTGCTAAACTTGTACTCAGTGAAGAAGTCTCAGCCAGACTGGTTCAAATGCAGAGACGTTACTAAGAACAGATGATGGACTTAACAAGCTGGAAGTCAGTGGAACCAAAATGAGTTTTCTTTGTTACAGAGATAGAGAAAATTGTCATATAAATACACACAGGATTACTGATGTATTGTTGTGGGTGGTGAATATATATGTATAAACACACATATATGGATCTGTAGATATATTTTTTCCAAAAACCTTTAGTGGATTACCATTTACATTCTTCTCATGAGAGACCCCAGAGCTGTTGCATTCAGGGATTCCTACATTAAACATTTTCTCTCCTCTTGCATTCAAGGATCAGCTGTTTTCCTTTCTGGGATAGGTGAGCAGTTCCTAAACTCTCCTGATAGAAGATTCACCAAATGATGCTGTTTCTCAGGTGTTTGCTCTCTCTCTCTGTTTGTCTCTCGTCTCTGTCTCTCCTGCCGCTCGCGGGTTTGCCATGAGGCATGGGCTATGGCAGAGAGGTGAGCAAGAGAAGACGCCGGCAAACACGCATCGCTTTCTTCTGACCACTTCCCTCCGTGTCTGCGTGTAGAAGGGCAGTAATTGGGAGCCTCTCTCAGTCCTTGGTGAAGGGAAAAGGCAGTAAGGGAGCCTTTTCCAACATTAGTTCATTGCTGCTCTTTCGAACAGTTTTTGTCTTCTCGGTAAACCATCTGGTCCCAGCTCACTTTCGTTCTGATTTGCATCCTCTCCCCTTTGCTCAGAACTGCAGAGTTTGCTCGGGTGGTGTATGCACATGAGCCTTGGCTAGTGTCTGTTCCCTGTGATGTGTCCACTCAGTCAAAGTGCCAGTCTCTACGCGTTCCCTTGAGACAAAGCTGTGGGCACAGTTCCCTTCTGAGCTGGAAATCAGCCCACCCCACTGCATCTCGTAGGTGCTTAACTCTCGTGCTGACCACCACTTTGAATGTCACCACAGCGTGGCTCCTCAGAGATTCCGGTTCTGAGCATGCCTGCACAGACAGGGTAGCTGTCCTGGGGCCCAGTTACCACCGAGCTCCAAGCATGAGCTGGCCTGGGTGTCTCCACACTGCTCCTCGGCAGGGTTCACCTTCTTGAAACGCCTTCTTGAAACGCTTGTTGTATTTGGATTACCCGAATATGCTTAATGTCCTCATACTGCTCCTTTCCCCGGCACAGCCTCGGGGCCCCTCCCAGCATCTCTGCAGACAGGCTAAACATTCAGTTCCCTCTCTATCATTATCATCTCACCAAGACACCAAAATGCCTCTCCTCTGGGGAGAGAAAATATAGTTATCATGGGTTTCTGGGCATTGACCTGTCCTGATGATGACATCGCCAAGCAGATGTTTAGTCTCAGGTGAGGGTTTCCAGACTGTTGATTCTGAAAGAGCGAGCATTCCTGCTCAGTTTGCTCACGGCTGCTCTCGGTTGGGCTGTGGCCCGCTCAGCAGCCGGATGTACTTCCAAGTATCACCGTCCTCAGGATCCTAGAGATAATGGAGTGGATGGGGCACAGATCACTTGGAAGCCGTGTTTAATCTGGAGACATAGCCATGACCCAAACGAACATAGTCTTGGGTTTAGATTCCTTGTCTGCCCTTAATACTGAAACCTCCGTTCCTCCTATGTAAAATAGGATCCTAGCACCTACCTCACAAGGTCTAAGGTCGGTGTAAGGAGTAAATAAGATAGAGCACTTCGCATGGAAACTGGACCACGGTCCGCATTCAGTAAGTGAGAGATTGTTATTCTAGACACTTCCGCACATTCAGAGCTGCCCTAAGAGGCCCTGTTCTCTTCTCCACAGGAAGAGTCCTCTCGAGGTAATTGAACTCCCTTATTGAATTCTGTCATCACTGTTGACAGACTGGAACCACTTGAATCTCCCTTCTTGAAACCAGCGCTTCTGCTGTTGCCTTCTGTTTCTGTGCAGGGACCGTCCCCTCACTCTTGTCTTGATAGGAGTAGAGGGAGCTCCTCCACGGCCACTTCTTCTCTGTCCCTTCGAGCAGACAACACCAGGTTCTTCAAGAGTTGGGGAGGCTGCAATTGAATAATTCCTTGTGTTTTCATTTTCTGTCATTTCCCAGATGACTTTGTGGTGCAAAAGCCAGAGCTCAGCACCCCCTCCATTTGCCACGCCCCGGGAGGAGAGTACTTTGTGGAAGGAGAAACGTGGAACATCGACTCGTGTACACAGTGCACCTGCCACAGCGGGCGGGTGCTATGCGAGACGGAGGTGTGCCCGCCGCTGCTCTGCCAGAACCCCTCACGCACCCAGGATTCCTGCTGCCCCCAGTGCACAGGTGACTAAGCCGCGCCCTGCGGCGCCCCCGGTGGGGGAGGGGTGGCGGAGGTTGCCGCGCAGGCGCTGTTGTTGGGCGGGACCCGCGGCCGCGCAGGCGCTGTCTTTCGGCAGGAGCGCCGCGGGCCCGGTGGAGCCACACAGGGCGGCGTGCAGAGCCAGGAGCCGGCATCCTGCTTCCTAAATTCATTCCCTTCCATCAGCCACAGATTTATGTAGTGAATGTGCCTTGCATCTGAGGTGCCTTGGGCGGGGGGGAGAAAGATTGTCTCTTTTTCTTCCATTTTTTTTCCCCCTTAACTTTGCACGTCGAGAGACGGCCCTGCTGCACCAGATTATGCCAGATGATTTTGCAAAGGTGAAAAGTCGTCTTTGTCTTTCACAGATCTGAGAAGCAGCTGTTAATAAGTCATGTGAATAAAATTCTTTGAAATATATAAGGGTGGCAAAGATACTTTTGAGAATGTTGAACAGGAAATTGCTAAAATATGCATAATATTCAATTCCTCAAAGCTGGGGTGATTAATAAATTAAGATCCAAAAGTATTAATTTGACGAGCACTGCAAATGTACAGAGTATTGATTTCTTTTTATTACTCAGGTAATCTGTCCCTGGCTGGTAAACTTAGGGTCATGATACATATAAGACAAAATTGTGTCAGGATTTTAAACCTAAATTCCTGGTTCTGTAACTAAAGTAGCACTTGTAATTAACACCGGAATTTTCCAGAAGGTACTTTGTATATGTAACATCACCAAGTTGACAACACAACTAGTTTTATTTTGTTGTTGCTTAATCTTTGGTCTTTTCAACTTAAATCAATAACCATTTACCTTCTCAGTGTCTATCCGTAGAGTATTTCTGCTCAGTGAAACATATACATAATTTTTTATCACTCTTCTATTCATTTGCAAACCCTTGTAATGTTCTTCTGTTCCGTTCCTAAGGGGAACAGACACCCCTGAACACCTGGTGTTGAGTTTATTAACTTAAGCCTGGGTGGCTCATCCTTTCTTTATGTATGACTCAAGAGATACTTAAGTGCTGGCCTTCATCTTAAACATTAGGACTTACTGCTTTATATGTCAGTATTCCAAAGGTTACTCTTACATCTGTGAATAAGAGCATTTCTGGAATGCTCTTATTTTAAAGTAAGTCACCTGCCCCTTAATTGATCTTTCTGAACTTTCCATTCATAGTTGTGTCACAGCGATATTAAAAAGTATTAAAACGCAAAACATTTTCTTCACAGTAAATTTCAACAGTAGCATTGATAAATGGTGTATTTCACATCTGGAAAAAGACCATCTCTAATCTTAGGATACTTGCATCCTAAAGTAGTCCAGAAACGAGATATATGTGCAGTTGGAAGAGTTGTGTCCCTCTTGGTGATTGTTTCCCCTAGGGTGCCCTGTTATCACTCCCTCTGTCCTTCCACTTTCCCTCGCCTCTGGCTTGGTTTAGTGCAAGGTCTGGAAGTGGAAATGGGTTCACAAAGAAAGATCGAGCATCCCTGTGGGTGGTGATACTTCACCAAAGTAGAAAAAGGGAGAGAATAGAATAATACTTCTTTCTTTTTAAAGATTTATTAAATCTCTTTCATTCTTTATTGTTTAGAGTTGGAAAGAAGCATAGCATAGAAGAGAGAGGGAAATAGAATAGAAATAAAAAGAATGAAGGGACACCAGTGAAGGGATGGGTAAAAACAAAACAAGAGTTAGTAGTTGGAATCGGAAGTATAAAGAAGGGGTCCCTGGGGCAGGAAGACAATAGCAGGAGAGGCCCAAAGAAGGAAGATACCGTGGGCAAGAGTCCAGATGACCTTTTCAGCCAGGATTGGGTTAGGGGTCACCTGCATCTCAGCTTCGGCTCCCTTGTAGCACTGACCACAAGTTCCCATGTCCCCTGGGGCCTTTTCTAGGCCCTAACAGGAGGCCTCCAGACTCTAGGGTATTCATTTCACCTATTTCATAGCTACATCACTGCTGTCCCTGCTTCCTCTTCTAAATGTTTATATGTGAGACTGGACACTGCTTGCAAGGGCGAAGCTGTCATAGCCCAGAGGAACCTGGTGGCAAAATTATCCCTGGACGTGGATGACCCTGAAAAGGTCACTTTGAAAGTAATCCTCTCTCACCATCTTTAACCCATATAGATGTCATCTTGGAACCGTGCCTAAAATTAGACCCAGAGCACACTGGGAGCAGTGGAACAGTGTCTCTCTTCCCCTTGGGACTGCCTTTGGGACTGGCAGTAGAAAATAGGGTTCCATGATTTTGAGGAGAGGGCATGGGCCCAGTCCATTTTGCCAACTGCCCTCTGTTCCTCAGAAAGAGCCCAAAACAAAGCAGCTGCCTCGCTTCTCAGAGAGGCTCTTGTCAAATCCAACTTCGTGGCTGTCAGATGTACTCCTGAGGTGGATAGAAGGAGAAGGTGACCATTAGAGCTTCCACATCACGGGGATGACTACCTGTCTATCCCAGTTAGGTCGGTTGTGTGGCTGAAAATAGCAGACTTCATGAAATTAATTCTAGGAGGAGCATCTGATCATCCTTTTGACCGTGTGGCCCTTGAGAAAATGCAGAGGTTTGCTAGGGAGGACATCATGGCTGTTTCTAAGCTCTGGAGTGGTGAAGGTGGTTGATCATGCTTTCTCTTATCAGCAGCCCGGTGACTTTCTAACCTAGGGACCTCACTATCATGTTTTTCTTTGTTATATTCCAGTCAGGTTTCTGCGTGAGGGTACAGCTTTTTATGTAATTTCATTGAATGCCAAGACCCAAAGAGATCTCTGGGTTTTCTGGTAATACTCCTTTCTGTTTCGAGTTGTAACTGTATCTGGGAGCCCTCTGGTCAAAGTCTTTAAATAGCAAAGACACAAATGACTTGTGGGTGATTTCTCTGTGCGTACATCCTTACGAGTAGATTTCCCACCATCTTTCAGCCTGAACATCAGGATACGACACATAGGGGTTCAGTAGGTGCAATGAAAGTTTTGGTATTGATTGGATAGGACGGCACATAGGTACAAGTCCTAGAAAACCCAGCAACAGTTTTTTAACAAAAAGTTTCTTTTCCATTCATTACAAGAAGTTTGGAGGCAGATGAGTTGGTGTCTTAGCGATATCAAGGTCCTTCTTCTACACGTATGATAAGGATATTACAGCTTTAGGCAGCACACTCGGATTCAAGGCAGGAAGAGTCTGGGAGGAAGACCACATCTGCCTTCTATCAAGAAAGGTGCTTTCCCAGAAACCCGCTCATTTAGCCAACCGGGTGACATGGCCACCTGGAAAAGCAGGGCACAGGATTGTCCTGACTTACACCTAATGTGATCCAAATCCTCAACCACCCCCACTCCCTCCAGGGTTTTGTTAAGCTCCAGAGCAAGAGTAGAGTGAATGTTGTACAAACTACTTAACAGAATCTCTGTAACAGGTCTTTTGTGGTCTTTATTGTTTTGCTTTTAAAATGTAAGACCCTGCACAAATCAGGCTTGCTGTTTTGTTTCGGAGTCATTTTTACGGGAGGCACACAGAGCCCCAGTGACCGAGTGTGCTCTTTATAAGACGGAGTGAAACTCACTGTGTGGCACAGTTGCTGGCTGGTAGCATCTCCTTTTTCCAGCTGACCTTACGTTCAATTTTTCCAGATGAACCTCCTCAGCCTTCCTCATCCCATAATGAGAGCGTGCCTAGTTACTGCAAAAACGACGAAGGGGATATCTTCCTGGCAGCCGAGTCCTGGAAGCCTGACGTTTGTACCAGCTGTGTGTGCATGGACAGCGTCATCAGCTGTTACTCTGAATCTTGTCCGTCGGTGTCCTGTGAAAGACCTGTTTTGAGGAAAGGCCAGTGTTGTCCCTACTGCATAGGTAAGACCAAGAAAAAAAATCCGTTGTTTCTACCAGTGGCTGTTAAATCTACACTGACAGCCATTTGCCTAGATCAGTTCATGTTTGTGACCTGTTACATGGACCCAAAGGAGTGGTATGAGGCAGGAGAGTGATGCAAAAGATGTGTTCACGAGATACAACCTGTGAGGAATGAGAGGCTCTCTCAGAATGCTGTGATGTTCTCGAGCTGTCCTCTTCTAGTGGGCTCCTTTGCTGTTTCAGGGCTTTCAGTATTGAACCCTCTTTCTCCACCCAGTTTTTTACATTGGTCCTTTTGTCCATATACAAACACATAATAAGGTACACTGAGCGCATAAAGCTTGCTGCTGCCTTGAGATCCACTAAATACGAAATACCGATTTAATGTCCCAGTAATTCCTCTTGTCTGCTGACTCCTAATTGATTCCTTTTCGACCATGCAGTCAGTTGTCCTTGTTGAGGGTCTAGGGACACAAAGTGAGGCAGGCCTGAGAAACCAACAGAGCCCGCTCCTTCTTGTGACCCAGGGGGATAGAGCCTGTCAACAGAAGACGTCCGTATGTTTGCCCCGGATGTCTGTACTGAAGCTGGTCCTGGGGACAGAAGCCAGATGCTGCTCTGGAGTCCAGAAGGCAAGGCTCGAGACAGCTGGCTACTCTCATAAAGGCACAGTCCCCGCTCCCAAGGCTCTCACTCTCTTATTGCTTTTGTATTGAGTAAAGCTCATGAAGTCAAGTGAAAGACAATGATACATCTCAATCCAGTAGTGAACCTACAGTCAGAGTAGCAGATAAAAAATTAGGGAGCGCCTGGGTGGCTCAGTCGGTTAAGGGTCTGCCTTCAGCTCAGGTCATGATCCCAGGGTCATGGGATCAAGCCCTGCATTGGGCTCCCTGCTCAGCGGGGAGCCTGCTTCTCCCTCTCCCACTCCCCCCTGCTTGTGTTCCCTCTTTCACTGTTTCTCTCTCTGTCAAATAAATAAAATCTTTAAAAAAAAAAGATCTTTAAAAAAAAATTAGACAAGCTATATTAATGGCAGGTATTGTGCATTTACTGCTGGAGTTTTTTGCATGCTTTCTAGATACAAGTAATTACACATATTTGGGGTGATACTTGAGGAAAAGGAGAGATCTTCAGGCCACGGTGCTTTGTAGCAATTCCTATAGATGAACTGATGAATGGCGCTCGGGTACATGTCGGCCATAACTCAAGCTTATCAAGACAGCTCCTTCTCCTTGACTGTTCGACCTCTGGCCACTAGATGGGAGATCACGTCCTCTGAGTCTTATTCTCTATGTTGGTATATAGAGAGATGGAAAGATTCTAAAAATACAGTTTCTGCTCTCGGGAATTTTACAGAGCTAGATTTTTCTCAGTGTAATGGCCAGAGAGTATTTAAATGTGTGTTTGAAAGCTGAATTCTCTTCTTTTAACAGAGTGACCAACTTTGGAAATTATTCTTCAAACCATGATTTTTGAGAGAGAAATGGGGGCTATTAATCAGGATGGGGCAATAGCTCTATACCAGGAGTGTCCCAAGCAAATCAGGACATATGGCTGCCCTACTTTTTAGTGACCAACAATATTGGGTTCTACTCTAATACCCATAAGCTTCGTAGCTCCAAAATGGAGCCAAAAAAAAAAGTATCAATGCATACATACATCCAACTGAGTGCTACTTCATTTCTCAAAGAGCTGACCAGTATTTATACAGAAAATGTAACTGCCTTTGGTGAGATCTAAATAAATGGTATAAGCTGGCCACTATTTCAGGCCAGGGGATCGGCAGAGAGGAGAGATGTACAACCAGGACTACCATATTTAAATATCAGAACTTCTGTGCAGTTTATGAATCAATCAGGGGTGCTTAAATCATACTTAGAAACCGGGGCCCAGGAGGCTGCGAATTCCACATTACCTTCAGAGGAAAAATCTGGCGGTGAATCTCTCTCATGTTGAAAATTCATGGATTATTTTGTTCAGATAAAAAAGTTCTTGTGTTTTGCTGCTTAATCAGTAAATTTATAATTAGTAAATTATTCATCTAGTAAGTTTGTTTCCATATGATAAATAGTAAATCACTTCTTTTTCAAAACCAATTTAACAAATGTAATCTCATGGAAAGAAACCTGCAAATCGGTAGTCTGTGTCTTTCTCATATTTTGTTGTTGTTTTGGGGTTTTTTGTTGGCTTGTGTTTTTGGCCTTTCTCTTTCCTATTCCAGTTCCTTCGTGATTTAGACTATACGTTCTTCTTTAGTGTGGAGAGAGAAATACCAATTCGGTCCAAATTTTTTACTTTGACTTTAAGTTAGTTGGCAAGCACTTTCACCAAATTTTGGTTCGTCAAGCTCATACTAGTATAGCGGAAATTATGTTTCGGTGGTTATCCCCCCCCCCCCCAATACACACACAAAGATGCAGGTATAATTGTATCATATAAATCTAGGGCTTATCTTCAGGGTAACATATTGGGGAGACTTAACATTTGATGAGTAATACTGTATGCTGTTACTCTTTCATCTTAGCACTTCATATATGTTGTTTTATTTTTCAAAGAGTCACTGAGCCCCTTCAATATACATATGTATTTTGCAAGTAGCCTTGTTAGATTGGCCTTCATCCTTTCTCCCCCTTATGTGCAAGCATACGAAGTCAAGTTCAGTCCATGACTGTGACATGAGGATTCCCTATCAGACCCTCCAGTTAGCTAGCTCCCTTGGCCTCTTCAGGCTAATTCTCTTATCAGCTTCCCGTCAGCCCGGCCCTCTGTAAGGGCTTCAAGCCCGGGCAGCGACAAAGCCTGCGTCCCCATACAGAGACCGCCTAGCAAAGAAACAGGCCATCATTTTGCCTGCCCTAAAGCACCCGATGATTTCTCCAGTTGGCCCAAAGGACCAGTGATTGCACTGTCTCCAGTTTTAGGCTCTCTCGGTTTGAAACCAGCTCCTTCTTAACCTAGATCGTCTGTTCCCAGGATCATACGTGCCTCACCCCCGCCTGCAGTGCTGACCTCACCATGGCTGTGGGTCCCTGAATGAATATTCTCCCTAATTAGATCTCTCAAATACAGACTTCTAAAAACCTCAAACCAGCCTTTAATCTGACTTCTTTTTTTTTAGTGATAAAACCCCTAAACAAAAGCATGCTTCTTTCACCTTGTGAAGTATCCTTTTTTCTTACCATAAGAGAATTGAAAAGTGGTGATCCTACGAAAAGTAGTATAATTATGAATATTTGTATTCCTTTCAGCTAGATTATCAAGTCGCTAATGTGCCATGATAATGCTTTTCTTTTGATGTGTGAAGGCCTCATATTATGTGTGCTAATTTAATAGAATGTGTAATACAGACATAATTAATAGGATTGATGATTAATTTTGAAAAGTGAACAGCTTTGTCTCATTAGTTATAATACCCCTCATTTGGGAATTCATCCTTGTACTAGAAGGAAACTAAGTAGTAATTACCCAATCATTCTAATGGAACACTCCCTGATTCCCTAATTGTTTGTATTCCAGTTTTCTAAGCAAATACAAATTTAGATTTTATTTTCATAGGCTTTTTGACTGTAATGATGGCTTCAAGAATGGGCAGCAAGAATCAAAAGATGACTTGAGCACATAAGTCAGGTGAAGGTAAAAGGTCTGGTGGGAATTCTGATGTGTGATGGCAGATTGGATCTGGGGTTCCTTGTAAACAAGTGCCTTCAGTGTGACACACTTCACTCTGCAAAGTAGCGTCATAGCCTTCTCACTGACAACATCCTGTGTGCCTTCCTAGAACCTTTCTAGAGCAAAAACGATTTCAGTGAGGTCTTTATTCCATCACTCTCAGATGACAGTAAACAATTCAGCCAGCAACCCTTACCTAGTAAGTGCCTGTGGGGATGCTGGCCCTGACCACGTCACCCTTGCTCTCATGTCTTTGTTGGTGATGCTTCTGCCAAGGACCAGATTCTAGCAGCTTCTCTGAGGGGCCCCACCATCAGCATCCCAATGGACCTTCACTTTGTCCAGGGGCTTAGTCATTCCTGGACAAATATTATAAAGAGCATTACACTGATCATAAAGACCTTTCTTAATTTAGCTTATGGGGTCCTCAGGCCCATATTGCTGCTGCCTCATACCTGCTGTTGACTTTGGAAATGAAGATGCTCAGGTGTGCCCGATGATCGAGCGAGCCAGTCTAATTGAACAGGACTGGTCCTGAGCAAGCAGCTCCTGTATCGGCCAAGTCCTGTTACTCAGTGCATAGAATATTGTTTTGAAACTTGGAATTTGACAAGTATTTATTTATTTGTAACCGTTAGTGTGTTATTTCAGAAAATATTTGAGGTCAGATATTTAAAGTCCTATCTGTTGGCTGGAAATCTCTGAGTCAGTGCATCTTTCTCACTTAAAAAACTTTTGCCAAAGGTGAGTTCTTTTTGGATGCTAGTCAGTTGTTTGTGTCTGTCTGTGTGTTTATATATGAGAGATAGGAAATGATGTACTTACATGTTATGAAAGTATATATATACAGGTTATAAAATCCGTATGTATGATGTGAACAAAGTTAAGATAACCTCATTACATGTCTCTCAGTTCAGTATCTTTTAAGTGTCTTTAAGTATCCCTATCTTCAAGGGTCTGTAAAAATGAGTTCTGTTATGGGTGGCACCTGATCATACATCTTACTGATTAGAGGTTAGCTATTTTTTATATTTATTATATATATCTTAATATTTAAGGTGGAGCTTTCATGTGGAGTCAGGCTGGCTTGGTGCACACTGTTGGTTGTGATAGTACGATTCTGTTTCCGCTCTTTTGTGATCTTCAGCTAGAAAATGATCAGTAATATATGTCCTTAGGAGGGCGGTGTCTACAATTTCTGTCAAGTCAGTCTATTATACATCATTCATTTTTGTTTAGATGTATGTGTATGATTATGCTAATTCGTTTAGGTATCTTTTCTTAGAGATTACAAATATAAATAGTATCTCTGTGGAACATCTGTTGATCATTGAGTATTTAACTCAGCCCAGGAATCAAACATAGCAAATATTTAATTCCGCATCTCTAAGACATACAACCCATAGAATTAAAGGTTGTACCTTTTTAAGCCATAATGTTATGAGGCTGGTATCTCTGTTGCAACATTTTTCACAGCTATTTCTCCAGTGTGTTTTCTTAAACACTTACGTGTTTTGGAAAGAGAACTTACTTTGGAGCCGAAGGGTTATGATCCCACCTCTAGCACATGCTAGCTTTATTTATGTCTCAGTGCTAGGATCTAACCCTAGCTCAGTTTCCCCATCTCTGAGATGGGGACGGTAATGTTGTTCTCTGCTTCGCTAAAGTGCTGTGAAAATTAATTGACATAATGCACACATGTGAATGTGCTTAGTCAACACAATGTGAACGCTCGGCTCAGTTCAGTGACAGCTCTTCCAACACGGAGTGCAGCTGATCTGGGTAATGTGCCAAATGGATTCTGGTATCGCACTTTACATATAGCACCTACCTCTCTGCAAGAGAAAAGCCTGGATATAGCATCCCAATGATGAGCTATTGAAGGACAAGAATATTTTAGGTAATGCTTCCATGGTGTACCTCGTCCTGCACACACTTAGCTTAAAACAGCCCACCACTGCTTTAGTCACTGTATTGTGATCCAGGTGGAGGTGGCATGCTTTCCAAGGCTCTGTAGTACAGCTGGGTTGGGGCAGTGCCCTGCCCACAAACCTCAGAGCTTCACTGTCCTTTCATGCCTCTGGATGTTGCTATGGGAGAGAGAATGGAGCTCTTTTAGTTTTTGTTTACTTTGAGAGGCTGGTCCCATTTGAGGAGTCTGTGAACTTACAGTGCATGATCCACCATGATTCCTACAGAGCACGTGGCCACTGTCATCAGGAAGAGCCGAGGTATGCTTCCTCAACATTCTTCAGAGCTCTGGGTTCTTGAGGTCCCCACACTGCAACCAGGTGGTCCCAGATAGTGCTGAAGTGATTTAAGCGGAAGGGAAGGGGAGCAGGATGCTTTTCTGTGTGCTGTTTAAAGGGTAGAAGACTACAAACACTCTGGTTGTCATGCACTCTACTAACTTTGGAATGGGTCTCAAGTTGTTGCAACAGAAATAAACGGTGTTTGATTTCAGTCTGTTTAGGTCTTACCCTGCACCCTGGGAAGCACCTCATCCTGCTCACCCCATATGCTGCTTTCTGTTGGCTGCTTGTGTCCTTCCCAGGCCTTAGCTGTGTAAACAGAAATTCCAGTAAGCCTCTCTGAGTGGTGTCGTCCTTACCTGGGCTTCAGCACACAGTCTTATTTGAAAGAGGTCTCTTGCACAGATCCACAAGCACATGCCTTTCACCTCTTATTTCCATCCAGGAGACCAACTCTGATTTTGGACTCTCTAATGGTTGGGGGAAAGGCCCCTCTACAGGAGGGTTACATTTCTGATGAGGGCATGTAATCAGACCTGATGTCAGCTGGCAGACCCTGATGGGCCACACACAGGCTGTGATGACAGGAACTTTCTCTGGGAAGTCCAGTGGTTTCCACTTCAGGGTTTTCTTAATAAGATTCTGTACTCTTTCACATAGATGGCTTCCCTTATGTCCTAAGGGAAGCGTGCTATTTTCCTTATTTAGGCCACCTTCATCTTTCAATTTTCCTGCCTGCCTTTTAGACTACATTATGTATTTCCATAATGGTTTCCATGTATAATCTCCATGAAGGATTGTCAGCCTTGTAAGAGATGGGACCTCAGTTAAAGTTGAAAATGGAATATTTCCCTGAACTTTCATCCATGAAGTGCTTACTTGACCCATAACAGATGGTTAATGCATAGATTAAGTCCTATCAGTGAGAAATAATGTCCTCTTTGCGTGCAGTGGGAATCAGCCAGAAGTCATTGTAGTTACCAGTTTGGTGAGATTTCTATTCCTGGAGCTCAGGAAAGTTTATAATTTTTTTTAGTGACCTTATTACCTATTTTTTTCCAGTATGTTGAAGAAACCTGAAAGGTTCTTTCAGCCTTTATTAAAATATACCTTAGACTCCCACCCCAAGAAATAGAATAAAGTAAAGCATAAATGGACTGCCAAGAAAGGTCTTAAAATGGTGGTCAGATCTGCTTTCAAAGTATTTGAGACGTTATAAAGAGGCAGGGGTTGGCCTACGTGGTAGTACGTGTCTCAGTTTTCTCTTTTTATAATGAATTAAGAGTAGATGTTTTATTTATTAGAAGCTAGAAGTTATTAGGGACTCAGGTTTTGAGTTAAATCAGTAAATATTTCTTGAATTTTTAGCCAAAAACCTTTAATCATGTGCTGACAGAATTACTGTATATTAGACCTGTGCCTCATTGAAATTGTGCCATCTGCATCCGATTTCAGCAAGACTTCGTCGAGTTCCGCTTTTCCATTCTTCTCCAGTCAAGACAGGTCCAGTGCGCCAGCCTGTTGAAAATCAGTCTTCATCAGTGCTTACGAGTCTGTGCGCCGCTTGGTGACCTGCGAATTGTTTGCCCAGGTTCCTTCTTCGTTGTGGTTTCTGTTTGTCTCCTCTTTATGTAAACAGAAGTAAAGCTGGTTTCTCAAATAAGAGGCACACACATTCGATTTCTTCTCTAAACGTAGAGTTTGTACCCGGCACGTGCCCAACTTTGGGATACAGAAAGGATGAGATCACAGGCCAGGGACTTGAATATTTTATCCGTTAAAAGAAGATAAAAATATAATAGTAGCATCTTATTCCTTTGTGGCAGTTAGAGAAAGATCACTGCAGTTCAGTGTTAAATTTATAAGCAAAAATTTTTGAAGGTACTTTCCCTACACTTCCCAGAGTCAGCTGCTTCACTGGTGATTCTTGGCTGCCTTTTTCACCCCCTTTTCTGAATCCGCTGTCACCGTAGTGTACCTTGTACCTTCTCACATCTGCCTGAGTGATCTCTCACTAATGCTTCTGTAAGTCCCTCGGACCTCAAAGTTAGGAAACCAAATCGAAGCAGAACGTTGTTAGCAGGGCCTGCAGTTTACACAGCTTTCCAAAACCCTCAGCATGTCTGCCTGGACCTGAAGTCCTATAGAGCTGGTGAGATCTCCTGATCCAGGAGCATCTCCCCAGGGGTGGAGACCTCACCCGCCTCGGGCACTACTGCGTCTCCAGCATTCAGGACTGCGCTGTCACAGCGATGCGTAGGAAGGAGAAGCACCCCTCTCCGCTCCTGCGGTGGATTATTTTGCAGCGGGACTTACTCCGAGAATAAGAGCTGCATTTAATTTCTTGTCCTCTGGGATCCCAGAGTAGATTACTTCTCAGAACTCTAAATAGTACACTGGAGGGCGCCTGGGTTGCTCAGTCGTTAAGCGTCTGCCTTCGGCTCAGGTCATGATCCCAGGGTCCTGGGATCGAGCCCCGCATTGGGCTCCCTGCTC